CTTAAGCTATAATTTGACCACGCCGGAGTACAATGCCGTAACGATTGTTCACGGATCATCGAATCGAACCGTTACTCGTTGTCTGCTGGTCGCACCAGTATGCAGTGGGTTGTATTTTATGTTCAAAGAAATGAGCGGTTTAAATAAGGAAAGCATTTGGATGCATTCGATTCCAGTGCAGCACCGCAACCGTTGGCCCCCTCCCGTCCCCACTCATGCGTGAAAAGTGTTGTCTATTGCAGTGTCAGACCAGTGAATGCGACCGTCGTTCGTCTTCATCCTTTAGACGTTGCATAATTTTTATTTTAACAGCCATGTAAAGCCCTTTTTTCGTATCAAGGCTGTTCTTTTGTAGAAGTAGCTGTTGAAGGTATAACCTAGAGTTTGTTGGATGTTCTTTTGCACGCACTACCCATTGTCCCCCCGTCTGTTAGGTAGGGTTTCTGACAGTATTTAACGGGGTAGACTGACTGTGATATATCTAACGGGGTAGAACAATCTGCGTGATTCTTGATCTGATTTTGAATCAGCCAAATTTGCTAAGAGCGGCGGCAGGAGTCGCCTGGCCGCTCTTGGAAGAAGGCTCGAATCAGCGAGTAATGGCGTGTGTATTGCTGATTACCAGCCATTCGGTCTAAGTGATCCTCTGATTTGTCAGATGTTCAGTTTTGAAAGCACGCCAAATTCCCTGTGTTGTTGACCCTAGTGGTAACCACAAAGAGGCTGTTTTTATGTCCCTGTTTTCTGATTCGTTAGCCACAGATTCGCTTTAAATGCATAAAGATTTTTGTCAGCTTCAGATTTTGCCTTTTCTGTTGAACAAACGTTTTACGGTTCGCGGTGAATTTTGTGATTATTAAAAACTTATTGCACCATTTCTATGTGTTTCTTTGGTCGTTGTTCCCACAGTCATGTCCTACGTTTGAGGCGATCCTTAAGCGTAGTTTATGTTATTAGAAAGAAATATACTAGTTTGCTAAAGTTCTGGTATGTTTGTTGCTGTCAACTGTCGCTAACATCAGCCATGAGGGAAATTAGCCGGATCAGCTGTTTGAGAGCATGTATCTAACTCGTAGTGATTAGCGCGATAGTTTTAGCAGTTGCTGTCTTGCACTGCTTTATGTGACTTTGCTGATCAACTGACAAGCATACAAAGCATGCGTAGCTTTGAATTATATCCGCCTTTCGCCAAATTTTACAGCCTAATATCTTATTTGACGTAACGGAACTGCACTTTCTTACATGTTCATTATCTCGTGATAAATTAAGCTCGAAATGACAATCACTTATCACTGAGATTCATCCAGTATCAAAAACTAAAGAAGATCAGATTCATATTTTTCCTATGATTTTTAACTCAGGTCTGTTTGACTTTGGCAGCAAGCGTTGTATCTAACTGTCATGCCACAAGTGAAGTAGATTCACAGTAAATTTCTTCTTCCACACAGTCATTGTTCTGACCTCACTGATAATGGCTGATAATCTGTACTTATTGTGTGATTTATTTGATGAATTTATAAATTTAGGGCGATTTTTCAAAGCTACCGCATAAAGTACAGCAATTCATTGCCGAGAAAACGGCTTTGATGAAACCAGCTAGTATTTACATTTGTGACGGTGGTCTTGCAGAAGGCGAAGAACTCATAAGTGATATGATCGAGCGGGGTATGCTGGCCCCGCTCGAAAACATGACTAACTGGTAAGGAAAATTTCCTCGTGTCGATTGGTTCACAAATAATCGGTGTCACTCGTAGTTACGCGTGCCGAACTGACCCACGGGATGTCGCTAGGGTTGAAAGCAAAACTTGGATGTCGACACCGGATAAGTACGATACAGTGACTCACACTCCGGAAGGGATCACGCCGATTATGGGTAACTGGATGAGTCCAGAGAAGCTTGGCCAAGAGCTTGATGACCGTTTTCCTGCCTGCATGACAGGTACTGGAATGCGGACTAGGTTCAGTGCAAATTCGTGACGTAACACTGTTAAAGGCCGAACAATGTACGTTATTCCGTTCAGCATGGGGCCGATTGGCAGCAGGTTGTCGAAGATCGGTATTGAGTTGACGGACAGCATTTACGTTGTGCTCTGCATGCGTTTGATGACACGTGTGTCCCCAAAAATTTTTGAGGTATTGGGCGACAACGACTTCGTGCGTTGCATCCACTCTCTTGGTGTACCACGTCCGGTGAAAAGTACACAGGATTTCTGGTACCTTGTTTTGTTCAACGCAATAATCGCTTTCATTGCGCAGGAAAAATCGTCAATCAGTGGATCTGTAATCCAGAAAAGACCATTATAGCGCATCGTCCGGCACAGCGAGAAATCTGGTCTTTCGGCTCTGGATATGGTGGCAATAGCATGTTGGGCAAAAAATGCTTTGCTTTGCGAATCGCTTCAAACATCGCCAGAGATGAGGGTTGGATGGCTGAACATATGTTGGTAAGCTGATGAGTTATTTATTACTCGTGATACCTTAATTTGAGTTCATTTTTATGATACGAACCCAAATTCAAATTTATCCGTCTTTAAATCACGCTGTCATTCCTTTAATTTAAGATAACCAGTTTCACGAATCCTCAAGGAAAAGAACGGTTTATTGCCGCTGCTTTTCCATCTGCATGTGGCAAGACCAACATGGCAATGCTGCATCCGTCTCTAAAAGGATGGAAGGTGAAGTGCATAGGTTTGTGGTTGTTTTTTCTTTTGACCCAGTCGATGTAATTTCTTGTCGTATGCACAGGTGATGACATTGCTTGGATGCGTTTCCGCGAAGATGGACAGCTTGTTGGTATTAATCCGGAAGCTGGTTTCTTCGGTGTTGCTCCAGGAACATCACACAAAACGAACCCTACAGCCATGGATACGTGTATGAAGAATTCGATTTTCACGAACGTGGCAACGACAGCTGATGGAGGCGTATTTTGGGAGGGTCTAGAAGACGAGTTGCCGGATAAAGTAGCGGTCACATTGCTGCATCGTGGTTGTTCGACCATAAACGTATAGATTGTATTCATAGAATGTGCAAATGAGGAACTGGTTGAACGAGCCGTGGAAAATTGGAATGCCCGGGAAGGCGGCACATCCGAATTCTCGATTTACGACTCCGGCTAATCAATGTCCGATCATGCATCCAAAATGGGAAGACACTGCTGGAGTGCCTATCGATGCGATCATTTTCGGTGGTCGACGACCGGAGGGTGAAAAGTTTTAAAAGTTGCTGCTTCAAAGAGACATGATCATCAGTTCATATGTAGGTGTGCCACTGGTATTTGAAACTTTCAACTGGATACACGGCATTTTCACCGGTGCTTGCTTAAAATCCGAAGCAACCGCTGCTGCGGAGCATGCTGCTGGTAATAATTGTATATTATTATGTCACCAATTATAACGCGGCACATGCTGCCAGATATTGTCGTTGCGGTTTATTTTCGTTTTTTGGACCCTGTAGCTTTCTTTTGCTTCTGGTCTTACTATTTAGTGCAGCTGTCAGCGAAAAGTGAAGCTAGGTGATTTTAAGGAAAAAATTCGGTAATGTCTCTGGTGAACATAGTACGCCTAACGTTACAGTATTAAAAATCCTAGGTTTGTATATGTCGGGTAAACATTGAGTGATATTACACAGTTGAAATTGAATTCTATAAACAGTTAGAGAACTTATGGTAATATTGTTCCTGTAACGATTCCCAGTGCCGACTTACGTTCTTATTGATTACGCCTTAACCAGCATTAAGGTTAAGTAAGAATGTGACGAAGGTGCGGTGCATGTTAAATTGCCCCATTTTTTTAAACACTTGACTGAACCTAATTCCTAGAGCAATCATGACATGATGATGTGAGAACAACCATCCATTACCTACTGTGATTCTGTAGAGTGGAGACTTCTTTTATGTCCTTTATAGTTTTGAACGCGCTTTGTAGAGTGAAAGTTAAGTAGAAACATGCCAGTTTGTATCTGATAGCTTGAACATACTCTTCTTAATTGACATGACGTGGCAACGTATTTAAATTTGATGGTGTAAGGTACAAGCGTGCATGATTCGAGTGGCCAAACCTGATAGCGGAGTGAAACTATTTCTCAGGCTATAAAACTTTATCCGCGTCAGAACCCAAGTCACGAATCCGGTTTCAATAAGAATCATGATTAAAATGGGGGGAGGGGACTAAAATACCAAGCTGAGCCTTTGTATAAAGTGGTTCAGTACCATTAGATGATGGATTGTTGTGGATCTTGCTCCAGATTGGACAGTTTGCGTGTAATCGTCAAGCTGTTTCAGTTAATTTTAACTGTAAATGGGAATAAAGTACGTATTTGTTTCAATAAACTTTAATTCAAACTGCGGCCTTGTTCCACTTTATACTTCTCCGCCGGACACACCGCCTACGTTTTCACCTGATACTGGCGACACTAAAAATGAATTAATTGTTCAAAAGCTGATGCGGCTATAGCTGTCTTATGCTTTTTTTAGGAAAAGTAATCATGCACGATCCAATGGCTATGCGCCCATTCATGGGCTACAATTTTGGTCAGTATATGCAGCACTGGATAAATCTTGGTAAACCACCGCACAAGGTTTGAAAAGGCCCTCTTTGATTAAGAACGATTAAGTGTACCAGCGTTCTCGTATAATAGGTGCCAAAGATATTCCATGTCAATTGGTTCCGAGTTAACAAGCAAGGAAAGTACTTGTGGCCCGGCTACGGTGATAATATTCGAGTTGTTGATTGGATTCTGCGTCGTTTGGATAACGAAGATGTAGCAGTGGAATCTCCGATTGGTTTACTGCCAAAGAAAGGTTGTTGTAAAAACTGGTACTTGCGTTTATTTACCTTTTCACTTTTAGGTAGTATAAACTTAGAAGGATTGAATTTCGTGGACTGGGATGAGTTGTTCTCACTACCAAAGTCATATTGGGAGGAAGATGCTAAAGAAGTAAGAAAGTTTTTCGACGAACAAGTAAGTGTTTTAGTTTTAAACCAAAATCTAAAAGAAATATAATCAGCGTAAAATTTATAGATCGGTCCGGACTGTCCCGCTGAAATTCGTGCTGAACTGGATGCACAGGAACAGCGCATAAAAGCAATGCATTAAGGAAATATAATAAAGTGGTCGTGATAGTGGAGTGAAGTGATTTCTGTTTGTTTGCTATGGCAATAGAAGTGGATTCTCCAGTATTCTGCTCAGCAGTTAAACGATTCATTTGATCAAACTTGGTTTGTAAAAGTGTACATTAAGGTTGCGTGTTTTTATTCGAAGGTAAACCTCTTATAATTGTAAACATTCGAAAGATTATTTCAATGGGATGGCTGTGACAGGGCGATCTGCAATATCCTTCTTCGTCTAAATAAGTGCTTTTTCGAACATAACATGCCTCCATACGTTTGCTTAGATTAGCGTCCTGATGCTATGAGCGCAAACCTGCATTTTTTAAGAGATAGGTCTCGAAATAGGTCGATTATGAACAAGCCAAACGAAAGCTTCAAATATTGAAACCGAGTGCAACGGGTCTTCAGCATAAATGCGTGTACAAAGCACAATTGACATCCTTCGTTATATTTTAACATTTAAGCATGTGCAATGGCGGAGAAATGTCAGTCATGTTCTAAGGCTATACATGTGCTTGAGGACATTGTTTGTGAAACAATAACCAGCTGTACTGCGCACTTTAGACCTTGCCCTAGCGGCAGAATATTTTGCTCTAATCTACTGGAAAAGTGGATGTTCAGTGATACATGACTAGAAGAACAGTTAAGTACACCATGACAACGGCGTGTTGCCAGTCCTCTCATGTGGAACATTACTGCCTTCTGCCTGGTCGGTACATTTGACGATAAATTTCTAACTTCGGTAAAATCGTGAAATTTCTGATGAACCCTAATGCTCTTCAAGAAGTAGCATAAAAATTTGCGGTTAAAACCAAAAAGGTATGATTGTATTGCGCTTCGCTGAATCTGCTAATCCTAGTAATAACGACACGGCGAAAATTATAGAAAAAGACAATAATCATGATACGTATAAATAAAGTCTAGAATCCCATTATTCATGAACTTAGTTTCAACCTGTAGCAGAATAAACGGATATAAGGACAATTACACAAGTTGGGTGGCAATTCGTTTAGCCCGAAACGCGAGTTTTCCTTTTACGTTCCGAATGAAGCATAGATATCGGAATTTAAAATGGAGAATCACTTAGAGACTTCCTGGCTGAAGAGGTTTCCAAAAGGACGTCGTTGCTATAGATTATTTTCTTGAAAAAAATTGCAGACTTTAATAAGGAGTTCAAACTTGTCTACTTTACAATCCAGTATCGTAACTTATTTAGTATTGAAATTGTGGTTGCATTCTTAGGAATGTGCAATAATACCACATTATTATCGGCGGTTCCTGCTGAGTGTGGCATATGTTACTCTGCCATGATAGATGTATTTATTTATATCTCTGTAATTGCGAAACTTATGTGACCTTCCCACAGAGAAACAAGCTAGTTATGTCTTAACAGTATGCAGTAGACGAAGACTGGTAACTTCGGCAGAATCCGTGGTCCTGCAAGAAAAAGTTGTACGTCTGCATGTTACTAATGAAATCAATACTCACCTCTCACGGTTAATGATATAAGCAACGTTAGTTATTTCAAAGCTAGCTATGAGACTCAACTTGTAAGGAGGTTATGAATTTTGGAAAGAACTCAGAAGCGTTGCTTTCAGAATTAAATTTCAGCCCCTAGAACTAGCGTAGTTGAAGTGGATGGGAGGTTACAGATGTTTGCTATTCCTTTCGTCTTGGATTAAGAAGGTCAAAGTTAAAAGGGTCTTAACTGTAACTTTGTCTCTACCTAATTCGACCTCCACACGCTGTACAAGTTTGTATGCGAACTGGCTGACCGTCACCTGGATCTGAAACAGTACAAAAATGCTAGAAGCCTTACAAAGCAACTGAACTTCCGTAATGAACCTAAAGTCTTCCACTGCCATGCTTATGCATTGTTTCACTACTGTAAATGTAGTAAAAGATAACGATAGCTGTGAATAAGGAAAAGAACGTTGCATTAATCAACATCAGGTACGTTTACTGATATATAAGTTAGTATCACAAAGGTTTTGACGTAGTGGAAAAAACCACTTTGGGAAGTAACGGAAACGAAGGTAAAATTAAATGAATTAGTTGAGTTGCTCCGTTTCTTCCGTGCCCTTATAATTCTTCGACCTGTCTTTTTTTCATGATACTCATGGAAATCGCTAGCCATTTTCCAACGAAATCGCCATCCACTGTGAAGCAGGTTCACCGCTGGCAGGGAACCACGCAGTTGCTCTTCAAAAGACTATGAAGTTCCGTTAACGTACCCATGCTGCACCATTACTCGTACGCTGGAGCCTTCAAGATCAGATCCAAACGGCTCAGCCTCTCCTCCAAGGCAGCGCTGAAGAAAATGCTCTTTGAAGGCCCATAAAGCAAGAATGTTTTCTCGTCGGGTAAATCCGTGGCCTTCGTCAGGAAAAAGCAGATACATTACGGTAATGTTCTGAGACTCGAGGGCCCTTACGATTTGATCCGACTCTTGTTGCTTAACCCTTGGGTCGTTTCCGCCTTGGGCAATTAATAACGGCTTTTTCATGCGATCCACGAAGAACAGTGGCGAACGGCTTTTGAGGAATTCTCGCCCTTCTTCGCTGTCTGGCGAGCCGCCGATGCGGTACGTGGTACTGTAGTATATCGGCTTGTAATACGGCGGGATCGAGTTGATTAGGGTGATCAAGTTAGATGGACCAAACATGTCGATGCCACAAGCAAAAAAGTCAGGTGTAAAGGCGAGAGCGGCCAGAACCGCGTAGCCCCCGTAACTATGGCCCATCACTGCGACCCTATCACGCACCGTATAGTTGTTGGCAACGGACCAGTCGACCGCGTCAAGAAGGTCGTGCTGCATTTTGCGACCCCATTCGCCATTCCCTGCGATCAGATGCCGTTTTCCGTAGCCGGTTGATCCCCTAAAATTGCACTTAATCATCAAGTAGCCCCTGCTGGCCAGCAGCTGGCCAGTAACGTCGAAGCCCAATTCCACTTGTGCCCAAGGTCCGCCATGGACATAGACCACCGTAGGAAGAGGACGCAACGAGTAGCCGTCCTCCGTAAGAGAGCCGGGAGGAAAAGTGAAGAAACACACTTCTGTCAAGTTGTCCCTGGTCGTCAAGGAGAAAACTTTGCTGGTGGCCCTTTCGTATCGCAATACCTGTTTGAAACTGCGAAAAAGTTGCGTGAACGGTTGTTCTTCGTTGTTCAGGTCATACAGGTAGACAACGCCAGGCTCCTTGTCGCTGAACACCTTGACAATCCACCTTTTGAAGTCCAACGACGTGCCTAAAATCATGATTCCTGAAGTGTTGCCGACGAACTCCTTCAGCCGACGGAACGCCGGCTCAATTTTTGGCACCAGAACGTATCCGTCCAGTACCGAGTACCGTTCGAACACGAGGGCCGGTGTCCCGGTAGCCTGAATCGTCAGAACCGTCTGTATTTCCGTTTCTTTGCACGTGTGCAGCACTTCCTGCTGCCCGTTGTCCAAGTTCTCACTGACCAGAGCCGCTATGTCTCTTCCTTCGTTGTTCAGCCAGTAGGAGACGTTGCCGCTTCTGTCGAAATTCAGAAACATCGATCCGATGCTGTCATCGACGTCGAACGACTTGTACATCACGGCGCGGTGCGTCGAGTTATCGACCTCCAGCAGGAAATAGCTCCTGCCGCCGTCGGTCGTCTCGTTCACGCCCAACCTGATGTTCAGCTGCATATCACAGAATATGGCACTGTAGTAGTCATTCTGAAAGGTGAGTTGCATGTCGCCGGTCACCAGGTCCACGGTGTACGCGTCGCTGAACTTCCTGCTGCGGTTGTTGATGCCGATGATGATTTTGTCCATTACTAGGGGACTGGCGCATATCAAATCCGACCGAACGCCGAACATGTCGACCAGCACAGCTCGCTTCCTGTTCACAGTGTTTATCGAATAGATCTTCCAGTTCTCGTCGCCCAGGTAGTCTCGGCTGTAGAGGATCGTGCGGTTGTCGCTAGCCCAAAAATATGAGGCGATGCCTTCGCTGGTTTCGTCGGTCAATTGGTGAACAGTGCCATTCGGCAAATTTTTCACGAATATATTTATCGTGTTGTTCACCGAGGCCAAGTAACTTATGATCGTGCCGTCGCCACTGATATCCACCGATGAGTAGTCATCATCGTCACTAAGGAGGACCTTCCTCGGAATAATTGTTCCTCGGGAATCACGGCAAGAACAAACCACCAGGAAGACAATCGGTCCAAACAACATTTTAATCGGCGTGAACGTAGTTTGGATTCTTGACAGTCGAACCACTGCTAAACAAACAAAGCCACGTCCGTCTTCGAAGTTAGTAATTAGTAGACGATTCTCCAGAATTCACAGTTCGTGATGCAGTCACCATTTCTAAAATGTAGGAAGCGATATAGAAATAAACAGAGATATGTATGAAAATCTTACGAAACGACCAAATGCTTTATTTAAGCAGTAGATTAGCCTCCTCGACGGCTCTTACGCCTTTCTTTTCATAAAGTTACTCACAGGACGCTGCTTTCGATTTTCATGTTTTGTTTTAAGTGCAGAATCAGCTACATCTATACGGTATACTGGTGTGTAGTCTCCTGCTTCCTTCCAGTAGAATGTTAATCATTTATCAACCTTAGAAGGAAGACAAGCAAAACGAACCCTGCCAGATTTCGAACCCCGAGAACTCTCGGTTCTGAGTCCAACATTCTGTGGACCGACTAACTCAGTCTGTAGCAACTCTGATTAACACAAAGCCTGCTTCACTCGCAGAATCGAACCTAGCACCCCTTAGGTACTGTATATCCGTATCAATTGGGCAGAAGAAGCGGCGCACATAATGCTTACTTTGTCTGGTTTTGGAGTAATCCAGTTCTTGATGGTAAACCCAAAATAGAGGCAAAAATATTTCCCTTGGCACTTCGAGGAGGTTACACGTTTGACTCAAAAAAGTGATGCTGGTTTGCATCAATGCAAGATATCATGGAGCAACATGGTGCTTAAATCACCACAGCACTTCAGAAGCAAAGGTCATGAACTTTGACCCTGTATTAATTATTTCACCTGAAGAATGATCCAGTATCGCAGTGCATAAGGTTCCCAGAAGAAGTGAATAATCTTGAAGCAGACAAGAGATGCTGCAGTTCTTCGACCAGTATGACGCTGTGGCTTCTAAACACTGCTCCCCCATATTTCGAGGGCGTCAAAGACCGTCACAGTGGCCGTATAAGGCGCTTACTTATATTGTTAGCCAGCCTCGTGAAAACAAGCCATTACAAAGCAGTTTGCCAACTCAGTCGTAAAGAGTGTCATGAAACTCGGTGATGAAGTCCTCGACGATTGGGAACGTCGTCTTCACAACGATACACCGACTTGTATATCGAACGACCAAAAAACCCACAGCAAATTTACGACCGTCCAATTTAATACTAAAGCTTTCAAACGATCTCCAGTTCCTTTTATTATTCGAAAAATTGCAAAATCGACTAGAACAGTCAAGCTTACCTCCTCGAAAGGGACATATTTACCGGACAATAACGAGGAACATTACTGACCTTCTGAAGTGACAGAAATTAGAATTTTAATCTTTAGAATTGTATGTAAGCCGCTAA